TCAATAGACCTCTTTTAATATTTTTAGCAAAGTTATGTTTTATCAAAAGTGCCTCCCCTTTTCTTTTTTATTAGGAACATCATCAACAGACAAGTTTTAACATTTTTAACAGAGCTAGTTTTAATTTTGTTTTCTATTACGAACATCGTCAATAGACCTCTTTTAATATTTTTAGCAAAGTTATGTTTTATCAAAAGTGCCTTCCCTTTTCTTTTCTATTAGGAACATCATCAACAGACAAGTTTTAACATTTTTAACACAGCTAGTTTTATTAAAAGTGTCCTCCATTTTCTTTTCTATTACGAACATCGTCAATAGACCTCTTTTAATATTTTTAGCAAAGTTATGTTTTATCAAAAGTGCCTTCCCTCTTCTTTTTTATTACAAACATCATCAACAGACAACTTTTAAAATTCTCAACAAAGTTACATTTTATCAAAAGTGTCTTCCCTCTTCTTTTTTATTACAAACATCATCAACAAACAATTTAAAAAATTCTTACCAAAGTTACATTTTATCAAAAGCGCCTTCCCTTTTCTTTCCTATTACACAATGTAACCTGTATTAAGATCCGTCTGTAACACTTAATCGTACACGGATAACTGGGCAGTGTTAACATCATTGGCCGTGAAAATACCAGGCTAATTAATCCGCCATAAAGCCAAGGATTAGGTTTCGCAAATTGTGTTTTAGCTCAGTCGCGATTACGCACGCATGTACGCACACAAGCGCGACCGATTGCGGATCACCTGTGATTAAGTCCTCCCGAGGACCTCGCGAGTTCTCATACCCTAGTTTTCTGCCGGCAACCGTACGGTGCGATCGTGTTTCTCCGTTGCGAAATTCACGCTCGTACCCGAGATTCCGAGCGCGATCGAGCCTGTGGCCGTGCGATCTTTAAACGAGAGCGGATCGATAGTGATATGGAGGCTTTGGGAAAGATCGAAGAACCGGTGTGTATACAATTCTAATTAATCGAAGAGAGCGTGGGAATTGTTGCGCTTTTCATTGATTTAGAAATCAAAAGTAAAAACAATGTGTCGAATTTCACTGATTTCTCCTGCGATCGTTTCAAACGCTCCTGAATCCTGTGATGGCTTTCAAGATCGAAGGAACTTTTGAACTTTTGAACGAGTTTATGTTAAAGTCTTTTTTGTTTCTCGAATTTGATGCAGGACGACAGAAGTAACCGTTCCGACGACTCTAACGGTGAAGTGTTCAAGAATGTCCCGAGGAACAGCAGCACGTTTCGCATTTGGAAAATTGAGGTAAGAAGAAATGCAGAAGGTGAAAGTGTGAAATCCGAAATTGTCTAATGTTCGCGACAGGGTTTGCGAGTTACGGCCGTCACAGGAAGTAATATGGGATATTTCCTCTCGGAGTTCGCGTACATTATCTACGCGGTGTCGCTGAAAGACGGTCCACTCCCTTATCCTGGAATGCCGGTAATTTCTTCCTTGCTTTCTTACATTATTTAGCCACTTAATCTACACATTCTACAAACGTGATATTTCTCAAATCCCATAAACGTTCAACAATAAGGTGAAGGAGTTAAAGTCCAGCCCCATAGTCCGCGTCATCCATTTCTGGATCGGCTCCACCTGTGATTCAACGATTTCCGGAGCAGCCGCCCTCCGAGCCGCCGAATTAGACTCCCAAGTTTCGGCCACGATTCTCTCCCGCGAGGCCCAGGGCCGCGAGAGTCCAAGATTCCTATCGTACTTCCGACAACGTCTCGTCATCGAAAATTTCCATTTTGAAACGCCATCGTGCACGCTGCACAGAGTAACAGGCGTAGCGGTTCCTGTTCTGACGGAACTCGAAAAGGTTCACTGGGACCACTTCAGCTCTCGGGACGTAATTCTCGTAGACGTTCTCTCCAAGTGAGTATATACCGGAAACCGAGTAATTATACAGCTTGTCTAATGATCTGTACGATCGTTTAACTCGGGTTCTCGTTTAGCAACTCTATTTCGAATAACATTTCGCGTACCAGTTAAGCTTCTGTTCGTTTTGTTGGAGCTCTCACCGTCTCGCAAGAATTCTCTCGAATCTAGAATGGTGCTTGAATAGGAAAATCCGAGAGAAAGCCTGCCACTGTAATTATGACATTGAAACAGGGGAATCGTCTTCCTTTGGCTGGGATCGTTATCGGACCCCCTGCACAAGCGACACGCAGTCAGCATCCTAGAAACAAGAAAAGAAAATGGACGCATCGTGATCGTGGACGACGGCTACGAACAAACGCTGTCCCAGCGAGACCGACAGTTATTCGACAGCGTTTTAGAGCCATCCACCAGAGTGGTGAAGCCTGACCGTCCTCACAGAATCAGTATACCGAGTCCGGTGAAATTATACAAATGCAGCGAGCAGTCCGGCAAATACAAAGTCGCGGAGTTGAAGTCTGGACCCATTCTTCGTTCGGACCTCACGTGCGAGTCCGTGTACCTGATAGATCGCGGAGAGGCAGGAGTCTGGGCCTGGGTCGGACGCAACGTGAACGCTCGAGAGAAGTTGGAGGCGATTCGCAACGCTCGCGGATTCGTGAAAAAGAAGAATTATAGTAACGGTGTGTCGGTGGGAAGAGCGATCGAGACTCAGGAGCCGACGGAGATGAAGGCGCTGGTCAGAGGATGGGAGACCGCGAAGACGAGGCCGCTTACTTTGCCGATTAATTTCGAGCCTGATTACATGAACGAGAGGCCTAAAATGGCAGCTGAATGCCAACTGGTAGACGATGGGTCAGGTGAAAGAACGCTGTGGAGAGTGAGTCGCAAGGAGGGTATGGTTCAGGTGGAGGATAAGGGAATATACTACGCGGAAGCGTGTTACGTAATGTGCTACAAGTACGGTCAAGGTCGCAGGAGCAAGACAATAGTACGTACCACGTATGCAACCACAAGATTGAATAATAAATAATTGAGAAAATTTTAGGTGTACTGTTGGGAAGGCGTGCACTCCATCAACGTGGACCGAGAGGCCTGTTTGGAAACGGCTTGCAGTTTGGCAGAAGACACCTCTGGACAGTTAGTGAAAGCGTGCCAGGGCAGAGAACCGCCTCACTTGCTGCAGATTTACGACGGAAAATTGAAAATATTAGCTGGGCAACATCGTGATTCTCGTAAGTCACATCTGCGTGCATCGCTTTGAATTTCTAATTGAAAAATATTGCAGCGCCGGAGAAGTATCTCGTCAGAGTTTTCGGATCCACTCCTTACACATCCAAGGCGGTTGAACGACCTTTGAGAGCCAGCAGCCTCGATTCCAGTGGAGTTTTTATTCTATTTTGTAGTACACCCGTAGTGTGGTGCGGCGGTAAAAGTACTGGCGATGCTAGGCAAGCGTCTAGGCGACTTGCACCTAGAAACGCATTGCTGATGATCGAGAATAACGAGGATGACGAATTCTGGGCAGAGATCGGAGGTTCTCTTCTCTTCTCTTAGTATCATTTTACATTTCATGTGTTTAATCTCTGGTTGAATTTTCTTAAGGTAAAGGCACGTATGGCACGGAAACGGTGGACGATGGAGAGGAGCTTGAGAAACATCTGTACAGGTGTTTAACGGAGAGCCAAACGTTCGTCGGTGAAGAAATTCTTGGATATGGGCAAAGTAATCTTCTTCCGGAAGCAATTTGGTTGCTGGATGCTGGTAACGTGATATGGATTTGGATCGGAAAGTTTTCGGCTCCTAAGTCATTGAAGGACTGTATACACGACGCAATGATATTTCTATACAATCATCCGGCTGGCCGAGATCGAAACACGACAATTTCTGTAATTAAACAAGGTACAGTAAGGAAGCATACGTTCATGAAAATATAATAACAAACAAATTTATCGTTTCTTTTTCAGGAATAGAACCTTCAACGTTCGTAGGACTCTTTGATAACTGGAACTACAATTTATTAAGAGAGTATAAGTCGTTTGAAACGTTCTGCACGCTCTTGCAAGACAAGGAGTCCATAACTAAGATACAGACGTTGTCGAAGTCGTCGAGTGAATTTGATAATTATGTGAAGTATCCTCTTTCCGTTTTGAAAAATGACCCAGAAAATTTGCCATCCGGTGTTGACGTTGTTCGTAAAGAGATGCATCTTACGTTTGATAATTTTATTGCAATTTTTAAAATGCAACCTGACGAGTTTGTCAAACTTCCTGCTTGGAAAAGGCAGAGGCTCAAGCAATCAGCTGGACTTTTTTAACGTCTGGATAGTCTTAAGCTTTTGTACCATAGTCATTGTAATCAAAACATCAAGATAATCTTTATACTTTATTGTTTGGAATTAAATTTATTCATTGAAAGAAATATAAGAGTAAAGTTTTATAAATCCAAGTAAATAATATATTAAGAGGAAACATCCATCGGTTCTGCCTCGACTCTGCGAACAGTTTCTCCTTCGATGATTATAGGATGGACTGTTTTATTGAGTATAGCAGTGGTACCGCGTTTGTATCGATAAGATATACTGCGCTCTCCCTTAACGTTGGCAACATCGTAAGGGCGTAAAAAGTCGACGGTACCTTTACGTATTACGCACAGATCTACGTTAGAACCAGAACCCAAATCGTTAAATACACCGGCACGAATAGCGTCTGCGACTAATTCTTTAGCTTCCTCTTCCTGAATAAATTACAAAAATCAATTAATATTGAAGTAAGAATAATAATTCAACTGTAAAATATTATGGCATGTAGAAACATTTTACCTCCATGCCAGGCTTCCATCTACTTTCAAATACAGCCATTGCAGCTAATGATCCGGAACCCATGGTAGTGTACATGTGTTTGTCTGAAGAGCCATGAGGGAAAATAGAATATAAATGTGGTCCATCTAAATCGACACCTCCTAATATTAAAGCTGCTCCAATATAGCCTTGATAACGAAACAGTAATTGTTTAAGCATTGCATTTGCGGTACACACTGGTACTATGCGTCCAGTATTTAAACGATGTAACTCCAATTGACTGAATATCATCTGAGTTGTCATTTCAGTGTCAGCTGCAGTTCCTGCTCCGCAACAACTTCAAAATGATTGTCAAATTATATTGTGCTGTTCAATGTTATGAAACATAGTTTAACTAAAATGTTAAAGCAATTTACATAATATACTTACTACATATTTTCAGCAAGGTAATGAATTTTTCTGCAGTTTTTATCAGCAACTATGGTACCTTCGGTTGCTCTTGTGTCAGCACCAAGAACAACTCCATCTTTGTAAATAATTCCAGCAATTGTTGTTCCTGTTTTAACTGCTTTGGGTGCTGGAAACCCATTTTTCACTAACAGATTATTCCTGAAAAACATGTACATTCAAGTAAAATTCATACTGAAACAACATTTGTTATAAATGACACAGCATTATTAACCTATGATAGGTTATGTATTAGTATATATTCATCAGAATTGTCCATGTTGTTAACAAATCTTTTTTAATAATGTAACTTTGAAATTACACGTTACCTTTGACAATAGTCGAAGGAAAATCCAGGTGCGGGAATTTCAGGAACAAGTGCAGAAGCCATGACTGAAAACTAAACTTATACCGCCATCAAAAAGAGCACACTAATCAAAATTGAACGAGATTTTCTACACTTTGACGCTTTCCTACAGATGGCAGCTCTCCGCAACAAATACCGGCATTCAATTAGGAATTAAAATTTAAGATTATAATGGATTTAAAAATTGATTTATTAAATTATTGCTATAAAAACTTATTTTTTTTTCTAATCACGTTTAGTAATGATACATTTTATTTTCGTTAAAACTATTTACACGAATCTGTGTTTAAAGTAAAGAACATTAATTTAAATTTGATATTTTTACAAATAATCATACTACATATAGAATGAGACTTATGATACATTATAGATTTATCAGTATTTATTGGTTATGCATTTAAAAGTACAGCATATTTGTTCGTAATTACATCCTGTACTTTTAAAAAAGGTACAATACATTGATCATAAATAAGCTTATATTGGTAATTTGCAATAATTGTTGCATTACAAATTTTTATATTAATATCAAATAACAAAACAATACTCTATTAGTTTATTATTGATACGGTATAAGATTTATTGTCTTATCTTGAAAAATTTATCAATTTATAAAATGTAAAAACTTTGATGACAAGTTTTGTTATGTTTCCAAAATTACAAAACTTTTAGGATATGCATATGGTTTCACATAAATAATGCTACTTAAAAATCTAAACAATGAGATAAATTATACATGAAAATATTTAAATAATAACATGTTCAAAATTCACATTTTTACACCTATTTTAAACGTGAAAATGTTATGCTTATTACACATATTAGAGAAATACAAATACATATTTAAATTCTAAATGATGTAATTATTTTGTACATATTAAAGATTATCCCTTTACTGAAAAGTCATTTCCAAATATTTACCATATTACAAATGTTAAAATTATATGTTAACTAAAAAATAAATTTCATAATATATAGTAACGCTTGTACAGACACCACAATATAAGACCATTTCTTATGAAAACAGAAAATATGTTTAAAGAGAACCAAATAAATTAATAATAGATGATCCATAATAGTAAAACAAAATAACAAAAATAACAAAATTTATATGAGATTGTGTACTACATAGGCTATCAGCTGCCTATATAATTATTTGAACTGTCAAGTTTTTTCCAAATAATGTTACAAGTTGTGTATGAATATAATACGTGTTACAGGTATGGAAGAGGATCTACGAGTAAACAAGCAATAACATATAAAATGCCCAAAAACATGTTAAGTTTAGCAGTTTGTTTAGGCACACTCTGAATCATATGAGGGCTTCTGAATTGCTTTTCTATTTTAAAGGCGGTCGGTAAAGTGATTACTGGTAACAAAAACCAAACAGAATACCTTAATGCAAGCACCACAAGAGTGACATAAGGTGTGAATAATAAAAAAGCATACAAAACATGGGATACTGTATGACCTATTAAGATAGCTAATGTTACTATTCCAGCCTTTTTGTCACTCTCTAAATCTCGTGTATTGTTACTATGTAAAATAGCCTCTGTATTTAATGCAAGAGGTATAGCATAATATATTGTACCTAATTCAATGTAACCAGTTTGAGCCATGAATGCAAACAGAACTGAAATTGGACCAAAGATGACTAAGATAAGAACATCACCTAATGCAATGTATTTGAGTCCAATCCCTCCAGTATACAGAAAAGAAGAGGATAAGCCTCCAAAGTACACAAGTGCTAGGTGCTCCATCTTTGCAGGAGATATAGTAGTTAATAAAACAAAACCTAAACATCCTGCTGTATACAGTAATGCACCTAATGACACTAACTCATCTTTTGATAAAAGTTGATCTACTAATATCCTGTCATCGCTTTTTCGGCTGTCCACCCCTTTAATATAATCAAAATAAGTGTTTACTACATTACCAGCTCCATGTACACAAAACACTGTATATAGAGTCAGAATGAAAGATATCCAACTAAAATTTGCTAAGCCTGTTAACCGATATGCTAATGCAGACCCAAGAAGTGTTGGCATTAATGAAGCGCTTAATGACCAAGGTCGTACAGCTAGGAAGTACGAAGATAACTTCATTAGTGGAGAATTTAACGTCGATGACGTTGGTGAACAATTTGGACTGTTTGACATTGATTTTCCTCCAATTTCCTTAGTAGAAATCCCAATACCATTGGAAATCATATTTTATATTGTGCTACAAATAAGACATAATAATCATTATATTGTTCCTTGATTATAAATGTTATAAAATTTAGTATCATAGATGTATAATTATAAATTATTTCAGAAGAATATTATGAATTAATATACAATAACAATACTCTATATAAAATGGACTATAAATTATAATACACAATTTATACTATAATTATACTACAATAAAATAATAATATATAGTATAATATATTATAATATAATGAATGATATAAATTATAGTATATTAAATTAAGTTACTTATATAATACAGAAACAAATTCATAATATATTTCTCCAATTAACACAGTAAGTAGCATTATAAACATATAAATTCATTATTAAAAAATACATTTGAATCAATATTAGTAATAAATATTTTACAAGAACTACAATAGGATTTGTAGTGTGATTATAGTTTTGTATAATAAGTTTTTCTATGATAAGAGATAATAACATATCATTATTAATATTATTCATTGGATGATTTTCAAATACAATTTATTTTCTAATTTATATATTGGATTATCGAAATAAATTTACCTATATACCTACTGTTAGTCTAGAGGAGAGAAAGTTGGGTTAGACCAGTCTCCATAATTCTTTAACGAACGTCATAGTTTTTAAGTACATCTTAAACATAATGAAAAACTTCGAGATTTTCAAATTGAAATATTTTTCACATAGTTGACATTTGATACGTGTATTTGAGGAAAAATTTAGTTCCTCTTCTTGTATACGCTAACTGTAACGATGACGTGTTTTCATTAATTTGCATGTGGCGCTATCTGAAATATTTCTCTTTTTTGTCAAGTCAAAAATATTGACGACATTCACTTTCCTAACAAAATTGACAAACTTCCAATTCATTTTTAACGATCATAAAGGAAATAATGTATGTTTAATCATGTATCATATTCATTGCAATCTTTTTATAAGCATATCTCCTGTTCTTTTTATATTTTCTAACGAATATATTTCATTTCACGAAAGAATAACCTTACTAATTCGATCTTTCTGCGCATGTTAATTCTGTTCGGATCTACATACTCTGTAATGTATGGTAACGCACTTGCGCTCTTACGACGATCGTAATACTGAATGTGGTATGTACAGTCGAATGCCGCAGTGCTAATGGGGACTTTTCTCCCTTGGCCACAATTTTCCCTAGGAAAGTACATTTTCTCTCATAATGGGCCAATTGGGAGGAAACCTCCCAAGCGCCCTCTCGTAAGAGAAAATAAAGAACATTTTCTCTCATGTGTATAGAATGAGAAAAAAATTCCATATTTTCTAATTCTCATTGATCACAATAATTTTTCTCCCACTCTATTTATATATTCAAAAATTTTATAATGCATCTTACATCTTATACATTTACCACGTTGTGCTATTTTATTCGTCCCTATAGCATACATGACCACGAGCAAAAACGCATTATAGAGAAGCATCGTATTGAGCAGAGTTGTATCAAGAATTTTAGGCTGCCGAATTTCGCATAGAATCAAGTATAAATGCATTAGACTGTATTATTGTTATAAGCAATTAATATTACCAAGCTTTTAAAGAATAATTTATTACAAAATTTTTATCAGACAATAAGATCCATGTAAACTCGTCATAACACCAAAATATACATGTATATGAAATGCGTATGTACGACACTTAACTCGTCACTGGTGCTCTTCGTTTAGCGATTAATAAACGTTGGGACTTCGATATTGTTGGACGTTCGCTTCAGAGTTCTGTGTTCCAGAAATTTCTGAGGACCCGTGGATGTAATTACTCTCGAAAATTCGTCCTGTTTCGTCCAGTTAAAGTTTCATATTGTTCAATCTTGGGATTATTGATCGTAACTTTTTTTACAAATACTATCTGATCAACTGTTTTCCAAAATGTCCTTGTTCGGATCACTGATGGGTGATCTTGATGATGATCCTATTTTTGGGTGAGTTAAAATTATTTTTAACTTTTTAATTTTGAGGAGTAATACTGTAAACATACGAATTAAATTATTTTTTCTCTATTTTATATTAAATATCATTTGAATAATATAATATTAATATAACAACGTAAATCTGTAACAAGGTGCTTATACATCTATATAACACTGAAATCATATATTATTTAACTTCAGACACAAATTTTGTTTCTATGGCACCTTACTTTTGTTTACTGCACACTACCCTTTCCCTTAACTTTTCATATTTTTGTAATGAACTGACAGCCTGAATTGTTAAAATTCTTCTTTCATAAACTAATGAACAATCAATGGAGGTTCTGTTATAAATAAATTATTTCTGATAACAATATTTATGTATAATCTGTTGTAGGTCTCACATGCAATCAATGAGACAAATGTACTCATTGTTTAATGATCCATTTGGCATGATGGGTCATCCCTGTCATAATGCCATCGCAGACGGTAATCATAGAAGCAGGAATCGTCAAAATGATCTTCAAATGATGCCTTTTGTATTTCCACCAATGCCATCATTTAATATGGTCAATTTGTTTGGAGACTTTGTATGTAAATTGTTATATTTTATTTATAACATTTATGGTACCACTGAAATCAACTAATTGCATTATGACAACTATGTTTTAGGATAACATGGCATCAAATGGAAACTGTCATTCTTTCACTTCAAGATCTGTAATGACTATGGCTAGTGGTCCTGATGGACGTCCACAAGTTTATCAAGAAACTATGTCTACAACAACTGCACCTGGTGGCGTAAAAGAAACAAAGAAAACTGTTTGTGATTCTCGTACTGGAGTGAAAAAAATGGCTATCGGTCATCACATTGGAGAAAGAGCACATATTTTGGAGAGAGAGCAAAATGTTCACAGTGGTGAACAAGAAGAACGTCAAGAATTCATTAATCTTGATGAAGGTAACTAATTTAATATATATATATATTACTTTTTGTACATGAGAAATGAAATAACATACAAATTGTATTTTGCAGAAGAAGCAGAGAGTTTTAATAATGAATGGGAAACGCGCACTCGCCGCGGAGTCGGTGCTGTAGGCAATTCTCATTATGGTAATCATCATGGTCATAGAAACCGCACTGATCATAGGCAATTGGCTTTACCTGATCCATCAGGAAGGTTAGTTTAATAAATTTATCAGATATATAACAAATAGAATCTCGAAAAAAAGTATTTTCTGAAGGTAGGATAAGTCTTAAAGATATGGATAGTAGTTAATTTAATAAAATCTCAATATTTTTTTATTATATTTTTTTTACAACTACATGCATGTAATAGGGTATATTTACCCTACTCTAGTAAACATATATGTTGAAACAGAGAAAATATGTTGCATCTAATTGATAGGATTATACATGCATGTACAATGTTATCAAAAGTATAGCAATATTACTGATAAACTTCAATTTATGCAGTGTGCATAAAAAATCCAGAAGACGAACCAGTAAAAAAAAGTGAAGGGCAACATGGGATCACATCATGCTATGTCACTTCTATCTCAGTCTATGCATTCCCTATCAAAATTTTGTATCAAGCATTACAATAAAAACAAGTAGGCTTCAGTTTTAATTTGTTCTGTTTTTAGTTGCAATGTTGCATGCCCTGTAGGTGTACATGCATTGCATTGTAGTATTTTTGTGATATTTATATTTTCATTTTATAGTACTTTCACCACACAACATTGAAGTAAAGCTATCATATAATTTATGTATTATTATTTATTAACTGATGTGTACATCAGTACAATAAGGATAGTTTAAGGACAATAAATCGTGACATATTTTTCAACTTTAAATCTAGATTATAGTATCTTATAGCAATGTAAAACCGTCAAAATTATAAGTACAATAAATAAAACAAATATGTCATTAAATCACGTAATATTGCACTTGATGTCTCTTTCATTCAATGTATAAACATAAACTGAATTTCAACTTTAATCAATAATTTGGTGGAACTCGGTAATTTTTTTGCTTTATTTCGTCTTTGTGTTTTGTTTTTATTTATGTGTTGTTGATTCGCTTATTATATGCTTCCATAGTCGATATTCTAATTCTTCGAGACGGACACCTCTTAGATGTAGTTTAAAATCTCCATCTACATCTAGAATGTACAGCCCAACTCATACTTTAAGGTAAGTTTCTTATTACATTGTACCATCAATTTTAGCTCACTTTTTAAAAACATGTCCATGTGTTTATATTATGAAATTAATAACAAATAAATAAAAGTATAAACGGAATCTTATATCCACAAAATAACATTTTGTACCATATTGTGCAATTACAATGTAGTATGTTATTTATGGTATTTAGATATAATTGCAGTGTGAACTTTTAATTTGTTGCATGCAACTGTTTGTTTATATATTCATTAGTTTTATTAGCAATATCTAAAGACAATTATTGGTGTATTTATTTATCTTGTAGTTTTTTTTTTTTTTTTTT